CACAAGGATTTGTCGCGATCTTCGCTTAATCTGCATCGGGTCAACTTCGTCAGATTTGCCTATCGCAGTAAAATGCATCGGATCAACTTCGTCAGACTGGACTGCTCATCCGAGCTGATTGGAAGCTATATTCGAACCACGGTCAAAACACTGTGGAGTTCATATTGATTCACAAGGATTTGTCGTGATCTTCGCTTAATCTGCATCGGGTCAACTTCGTCAGATTTGCCTATCGCAGTAAAATGCATCGGATCAACTTCGTCAGACTGGACTGCTCATGCGAGCTGATTGGAAGCTGTATTCGAATCAGGGTCAAAACAATGTAAAATGCATATTGAATCACTTTAATTTGTCACGATCTTCGCTAAATCTGCTCGCACCATTGTTGCACTGCTTAACCCCTAAACCCTAAAGCCGCAACCCTAAACTCTTAAACGTTAAACCCCAAGCCCTATAGGGCCCGAAACTCCAAACCCCTAAACCCGCCAAGAGCCCGAAGCCCGAAACCCGATTGCACTGCTTAACCCCTAAACCCTAAAACCTCTACCCTAAACTCCCAAACCTTAAACCTCCAAGCCCTAGGTCCCGAAATTCCAAACCCCCAAACCCGCCACGCGCCCGAAGCCCGAATCCCGGTTGCACTGCCTTCATCGTGCCAGCACTGGCCTGAGTGATCCTCGCCTAAACTACGTTGGGCTCAACAGTCCAGTGCCTTTGCAAGAAGCCTTCGGCAGCGACTAGGATCTTATCTACGTTTATTTATCACGTCTTCACCTGTTTCAACTAGGTTCTGCAGACATGCCATTGTGCCGGCCGGCACTGGCCTGTGAGCGTCATCTCGCCTAACTACGTCAGACCCCCACCAGCCGAGTGCCTTTGCAGGAAGCTCCCAGCAGAGACTAAGGTCTTATCTACGTATATGTAGCAAGTCTTCTCCGGAAATATCACAGGCACTGGCTGCGAGCATCCGAACTTACAAAACCACGTCAGACCCCCAACAGCCTGGTGCCTTTGCGGGAAGCCTCCAGCAGAGACTAAGGTCTTATCTACGTATATGTAGCAAGTCTTCTCTGGAAATATCACAGGCACTGGCTGCAAGCATCCGAACTTACAACAGCCTCAGGATCCACTCGCCAGGAGGCACCTGCATCAACGCAGTGAGCTGCTCGATGCTATGAGCGCTCTTTGCGTCCTCGTCTGGCGCACTGCAAGCATCGATGATGTCCTGCATAGTTTAGAATCTAGGGTTTAGGGCTTAGGTCTAGTGAAGTTTAAGGAAGGGAGTTTTAGAGGAGGAAGTTGATAGAAGTTTTGCAAGGAGCATATCGTCGCGGTGGGGGATGACGCCGCATGTTTCGAGGGAATGCATGTAAGTCGACGACTTGGTCAAAAACTGTCGTTCTTTGAGGCCTGAATGTCCCAACCTGCATCAACGTCGTGAACTGCTCGACTCTATGAGCGCTCTTTGCCTGCGTGGTCTAGAATCTAGAGTTTAGGGGTTAGGGTCTAGGGTTTAGGGGTTAATTAACTTAGGGGTTAAGGGTTAAGGTCTTTCACAGCTGCAAGTGGCAGAGAGTCGTCGAAGGCCGGACGCGAGCTCAAGGAAGAAGCGCACGCCGTAGACGTGACATCGAAGAGGGCTTGGAAGTCTTCTGCTGACGTGGATGCTCCCGGCATAAGGCGTCTCTTTTTGGCGGCGACAACCGCCTCTGCGGGAAGCCCTGCAGAGGGTATGGCCAAAGCTAAGTCCGCTTCGTCTAGCGGTTTCCCGGAATCAGACGCAGCAGAAGGCACCATTTCATCCGAACCATTTCCAGCAGGATTCTCCACAGGCTCTGCTTCCTGGTCGAGCAGGGCCAGGTCGTGGTCTACGCGAGCCTCAAAGGACTCCTGAGATGCACCGCCCAAATAGTCCATGAGTTGAGTTCGGACACACAGGACAGCGACGGGCGGGAGATCGCAGCCTGTGAAGCCTGTGAACATTGCAAATCCACGTAAAACACAACGGACAAACGCACCAGTTGCCAGGAGTCAGGGTCCAGTCTCTTGCACAAATGGCACAATTGATTTGTGCGTTCCAGTCGATCGGCGATGCAGGCGGACGAAGGCGCATGGCTTACCAAAAGCCGCCTGGCTGCACGTGCATCAAGACGGACAGCTGTGCCAATGAAGACGGTCCATCCGGAAATTCTTCATGTAGTCTGGCTCGAGAAACGCCAACGCCATCGATCGAAAACTCGAAATGCCGCCGGCTCCAGCTGACCCCACAACGATGAACTCGTTCTGGATGCAGCAAGCACGTGTTTCTGTGTGGATGCACTTGCGGAGATTCGTCATTGAGGCCAATGAACACCGCTGGATTCGAACGCCAAGGGTTGACAACGCTACAGTATGCCCGCTGTTCACTGTGCTGCCATTGACGCACGCCGATGTAGAGGCCGGTGGCACAAGCGGGAAGTCGGAGATCGAAAATCGCCGCTCCCATCAGCGGACCACGCGACTTGAATCCGGTCACAAACCGTGTGGGCTGCCGAGAGCAAGTGACCTCTGTATCCCATTCCAGCGCTATTCGCGGAGGGAACGAATGGAACATAGCCAATTGCAGATCCTGGGAAAGGCCAATGACATGCCAGACTCTCCAAGGAAATAAACAACAAAAACATCTTATATATAACTTATTGCCAGACAAGCCAAGCCACATTCACAGTCACAACTCTGGCCTCTTCCAATGCGAAATGGAGGTCACGCAACACCGACGCTTCCATAAATTCGAGACCGCTCAGCGACAAGCTGCGGCCTCGCCAATGCTCGCGACTGCGCGCCGAGCGACACATGCCTCTGCAAGTCCAGGCCAGATGTCTTAGGAAGTCGTGGGAGAAAAAATAACCTGGAAGCAGCTCCAAGGCCTCAGACGGCAACGAAGCTCCGAGCTCGTCTTGGACATATTCGACATCCTGGTAGGACAGCTGAGGCGAACTTCTGACCCATCTAAAGCATCCACTGGCGTCACAAACCCATTCTCCTGGAGACTCACTACTGATAGAAAGTGCATCGTCGTCGGCTGTGAATGGCGGCCCCCAAAAGCCCGACTCATCGTCTGAATCGTAAGCGCAATTCACCGTGGCTGCAGTTGCCGGGATCGAGCTCACGAAAAAGGCGCTTTCTTGATCTTCGCCATCCTGGCCCAACAGCTGCGGCGAACCTCTGACCCATCTGAAGCACCCAGTGGCATCACAAACCCATTCTCCTGCAGACTCACTAGTGCTAGACGCTGCATCATTGTCGGTTGTGGTTTGTGGCCCCCACAAACCCAGCTCTTCGTCTTAATCGTAAGTGTCATTGACCATGACCGCAATTCTTACAGGAACTGGCTCAACCAGGAAATCGTCATGATGCAAAGCAACTTCAACGGCATCGCCATCTGGCTGGATGCCGTGCGGCAAACGATGCCAGGTGTCAATGATATCCGCAGCGCCGCGCAAAGCCTGCTTGCCTCCCACAAAATCATGTGAACTCCGCGCTGACGCTGCTCCAGCAGACACCATCACCTGGGATTCCTGCGCACGTGGGAGTCGAGATGTGTGCATCTTCAGAATTGCATGAATTTTCATTTTCCATGACTGGGACGTTATCCAGAAAAGGGCCTTCCCCTTCTTGATCTGGGTGGCAGCACACAACATGCATGGCACGCACTTTGAGGTTGGAGTACTTCTCGATGATGTGCTTGTACAGATTCAGTTGTAGTCGGTAGTGATTGCCTGCACAGTCCTCCAGATGACTTACAGGCGATGTCACGTTTGCCCAGCGATTGCTGTATTTGCTGCGCAGGCCTTTGGTTCTCTTCCAGTCGAAAAGAATGACTTCGTCTTTCGAGCAGCTGGCCACGAAGTCGCGTGGGGCTGGGGGCTGGGCTGGGGCTGAGGCTGGGGCTGGGTGGAGCTTCTGGGGCTGGGGCTGGGGCTGGAGGCCGGGATTTAAATTTTCAAAAATCTTTAAAATCTTTAAAAAAATTAGGCCGAATAATTTTTTTAAGATTTTCAAAATTTAATTGGCGAGGCCGGGGATTCAATTCTTTAAAAACTTTCAAAAACTAATTCGGCCGAATGAAATTTTTAAAGGTTTTAAAGATTTTTACAAATTTAAATGCTCCCGGCTGACCCCTAGCCCGGGGCAGGGGCTAGGGGTCGGCCGGGAGCATTAAAATTTTTAAAAATCTTTAAAATCTTTAAAAAATTAAATGGGCCGAATTATTTTTTTAAAGATTTTTAAAAATTTAATTGGCGGGGCTGTGCACTGAATTCTTTAAACAATTAAATCGGCCGAATTATTTGTTTACAGATTTTTAAAATCTAATTGGCGGGGCTGGGCACTGAATTCTTTAAAATCTTTAAAAAATTAAATCGGCCGAATTAGTTTTTTTAAGATTTTAAAGATTTTTAAAATTTAAGTGCTCCCGGCTGACCCCTAGCCCGGGGCAGGGGCTAGGGGTCGGAGACCGGGATTTAAATTTTTAAAATCTTCAAAATCTTTAAAAAAAAAAATGGGCCGAATTATTTTGCTAAAGGTTTTAAAAACTTAATTGGCTAGGCTGGGCCCTGAATTCTTAAAAAAAATAAATCGGCCGAATTATGTTTTCAAAAAATTTAAAGATTTAATTGGCGGGGCTGGGCACTGAATTCTTTAAAAAAAATAGGTCGAATTATTTTTTGAAGGTTTTTAAAAACTTAATTGGCGGGGCTGGGCCGGCTGGGCACTGAATTCTTGAAAATCTTTAAAAATGGGCCGAGGGCTGGAGGCTGGGCTGGAGTCATCACACTATACAGGAAGCCAATCGCCAAATAGTACATAAAGGTCTTTCTTACATATATATATATATATCTAATAATATATAGTAATAATAATAATAATGATAATGATATTATCAAATTAATAATAATGCCTGTTAGCAATACCTGTCGAAAGCCATAGTGTGACTTTCCCGGTGCCGCGTGGCGTTGCTCCCAAGCGCCGTCCGGCACCAAACACTCCGCGCTTAACGGGTCCGGGACCTGCCGCTGTCACGCCAAAGAGTCTTCACAAGGCTTGTTTACCTCAGGATTCCAGACTTCCCAGAGACTCCAATATCCCTTAATTAAGGAAGGGTTTAGGGTTTAGGGTTTAGGGTTTGTGATGCGCTGCAAGACTCCCTGACTGCGGGGTACGAGTGTCTATAGTGTCTAAACACCGTGTGAAGCCCTTTGTTCCTCTGCGCCGCATGGCCTTTTCATAACCGATCATCTTGCCATAGCCCACTTCCCAGAGAGCCCAATACCCCTTAATTAAGAAATATACCTTAAACCATAATATCAAGGCCCTTATAATTTAAGGTATATTCCTTATTTAAGGGGTATTGGGCTTTCTGGGTTGATCAGCTTGCCATACTTGGAGGATCATGAAACTTAGTAACTAGGGTTATAAATAAGGCAACTGTAATTATAATCCCAATTAGGGTACTTATAACCTTACTTACTAAGTCCCATGATCCTCCAAGTAGCCCACTTGCAAGAACGGGAACCCTTGCAAAGAAGACATGCCTTGGGATGGTGCGGATCATCCGACGGACAGAGCTCCTCCCTGCGCCTTTGTGGCAAAACTTCGCTGGAATGAACGAGCCATCTATCCATCTATCTATCTATCTATCTATCTATCTATCTATATTATATATATATATATGTATTTATCTGTTTATTCATTTTTATATTGATATTTATATTGATACTTATATTTATGACTTATTTATAAAGCGTACTCCGCCTGAACATTGGTGCGAAGTTTTCCACACAACAGGTCGCAGACCCTAAGTCAGAGACTCCAATATCCCTTAATTAAGGAGTATACCTTAAATCATATTAGGGGTCCTACTATAATTTATAAGGTATATTCCTAAACCCTAAACCCTACACCCTTATAGATCCCTTTAAAGGCCCCTATAATTTAAGGTATATTCCTTAATTAAGGGGTATTGGAGTCTCTGGGCAGTCTGGAATCCTGAGGTCGCCACAGGAACTTGATCATCTGCCGTAGCTGCTCAAACTCCGCCTCCTGACTTAGGGTTTAGGGTTTAGGGTTTTGGGTTTAGTGTTTTGGGGTTTAGGGTTTGGGGTTTAGGGACCCAGAGAGCCCAGTATACCCCTCAAGTAAGGAAGATACCTCAAATCAGAATATATTAAGGCCCCTATAATTTAAGGGATAGGTTCCTAAACCCTTAACCCTAAACCCTTATAGATCCCTTCAAGGGCCCCTACAATCTAAGGTCCATTCCTTATTGAAGAGGTAAGTTGGGCTCTCTGGAGACAAGGCTGCACTTTGAGCTTTGGGGCGAGAATTCCGGGCACTTTCTCCGGAACGGTTTAGGGTTTAGGGTTTAGGGTTTATGGCAGAAGCAAAAATTAGGATAGGGATATCCCATATAAATCCCCTTATAATGAAGCCCAATGAGGTAGGGATACCCCTATAAAAATGCTTATGCTTATGTCATTTTTGGGGTTCCTAGTTTGAGGTACTTGGAGGATCATGGGACTTAGTAAGTAAGGTTATAAGTACCCTAATTGGGGTTATAGCTACAGTTACCTTATTCAGAACTCATTTTAGTAAGTCCCATGATCCTTCAACTAGGGCTCAAAAAGGAGGCTTCATGATGAAGATTCATATCTTCGAGGCTGAAGTTCGGACTCCGACTTCAGACCCTAAACCCCTAAAACCCTAAACCCTAAAACCCTAAACCCTAAACCCTAAAAGCCTAAAGCCCTAACACCTTAAACCCTAAACCATAAAAGCCTAAAGCCCTAAAACCCAAAACCATAAAAGCCTAAAGCCCTAAAACCCAAAACGCTGAATCACCAAAGGCTCTCTTCAGAGGAGGGGAAGGCCCAGGGGGGATTGGGAAAAACTGGGCCTTCACGGTGGTGATGTTGCAGCCATGGACCTCCCTCTCGAAGTCCTGAAAGTTTTTTTTTGGGGTTTTTGGTTAAGGGTTTAGGGGTTTAGGGTTTATAGGGTTTATATACACATATCGCATGCATGCCGTGCGAGGTTACCAGACAATGTGTATGTGTTCTAGACGCGCTCTTTCTCTATACACAAGGAATCGGTTCTGTAGAGCTCTGCGTACCCGATTGGTCCCATTTGCATGACAATGCTTACAGTACAGTAGATGCACTTTGCGGGTCGGACAGGACTTGCAAATTCATCCGCTAGCCGGCCTGGACCCAGAGCTTTAGCCGTCACTCAATACGACCTCTCTGTCTTCGTCTCTCTCCCTCTCTCTCTCTCTCATATATATATATATATATGTATATATATATATATATGTATGTATATATACATATATATATATATACAAACAGATAGAGAGAGAGAGAGAGACCGATATAGATATATACATAGATATAGATGTAGCTGTAAACGTATATGATATGAAGATGTAGACATAGATACATGTGCAGGTCTAGATGTCGAATATATATATATATAACTAATATACATATGTACGTCTGCATGTCTACTTATTGAGATATGGTGTAGAGAGAGAGAGAGAGAGAGAGAGCGAGAGCGAGAGCGAGAGCCAGAGCGGGAGCGAGAGCGAGAGAGAGAGAGAGAGAGAGAGAGAGAGCGAGCGAGAGCGAGCGAGCGAGAGCGAGAGCGCGAGAGGGAGAGGGAGAGGGAGAGGGAGAGAGAACGAAATGAATAAATAACGACATACACAAAGAAAGAAATAACGACACAAATAACGGACATAATCACAAGAAAAAGACACAGACAGACAGAAGTAAATGACGACATAAAGACAGACATAAAGAACGAACGAGAGACACGGATGGACAGTGAGTATTGAGTCATTCGTGGTTTGGTTTGCATGGGAGAACTCTTTCGAACCCACATGCCCGATTTGGCAGAGCAGGGGTGCCAAAGGCCGTGAGCCCAGCGTCCTCTGCCTCCAGGTAGCCCTCCGCCACATACTGCGAGGCCGCGAGGACCAAGGCAACCGCCCGAGGCTGTGGCACCAGGTCCTTGGCGACTTCGACCATACTTGGAGGATCATGGGACTTAGTAAGTAAGGTTATAAGTACCCTAGTTGGGGTTATAATTATAGTTACCTTATTTATAACTCTAAACCCCTAATTATAGTTACCTTATTTACAACCCTAGTCACTATGTCCCGTGATCCTCCAAGTATGGGCGCTCGGCTCAGGGCTCGGGAAAGGCCATCAGCGGAGGGCTGATTCTCTGCCCTCTCCGACGACAACCCGACGTCCCGGGCCTTGCATCCCTGAACAGCCCGCCCAGAGACTCCAATACCCCTTTAAAAGGAATATACCTTAAACTATAGGGGCCTTAATATTATGATTTAAGGTATATTCCTTAAGTAAGGGGTATTGGGCTCTCTGGGAGCCCGGCACGTCCGCCACATGCTCTGCCAAGGTTCTCTCTCAGGGTCGCTGCTGGCGACGCCTGTCAAGTTATTTTGAAAGCTCCGTCCTGGGGTTTGAGGGGCGTCTGGTTGAGGGCTGCCGGGGCGCCGAGAGCATCGCTTTCTGGCTCGTCCAATGTCTTCTGGCCGTCGTCGTTGGACGTCTCCTTGGATGACGAATGTGCGTTCACAGCCCAGTGCACTTCTGAACGGCTCCGGGAACCCTGCCATCATCCTACATCACCTTCTCAAAGACTGCTGCACTGACAACCACGACAACAGCTATAGACGACTGGTTTCCAGATACATGGGTAGTTGTCAAAATTAGGGTCCCTTTTGGGGTACCCTAAATAATAGGTGCCGTATTATAATAAGGACCCCAAAAGGGACCATAATTTTGACAACCACCCACATCCAATTAGCACCCAAACGCTGTGCCGACCCCGCCGTTGCAGTTCCAATCAAACCAATTGTGGTAAGCCCCCACCTACTTGGAGGATCATGGGACTTAGTAACTAGGGGTTATAAATAAGGTAACTCTAATTATAACCCCAAGTTGGGGTACTTATAACCGTACTTACTAAGTCCCATGATCCTCCAAGTACAGCCTCCAGTTGCAGGAAGCAGTCCTCTTCGAGGGGAGCCAAGGCAGCTTCATCAATCCTCAGCACGGGTCTCTTGAGCCGAAGAGCCGGTTAAGGTTTAGGGTTTAGGGTTTAGGGTTTAGGGTTTAGGGTTTAGGGTTTAGGGCTTCTGAAGTAGTGACAGTGACCCAGAGAGCCCAACTTACCCCTTAAATCAGGAATATACCTTAAAATTATAGGGGCCGTAATCTTATGATTTAAACGGTATATTCCTTAATTAAGGGGTACTGGGCTCTGTAGGGAGGGCAGTGACCCTAATCCCCAAACCCTAAACCCTAAACCCTACACCCCAAACCCCAAACCCCAAACCCCAAACCCTAAACCCTAAACCCTAAACCCTTCACCGCAAACCCTAAACCCAGGGCTTAAAACCACTCCCGGACAAGGTGCGACGTGGGGTAGGACTTCGTGCAGTGACCTGGGCTTCTTGGAGTTGCTCAACCCCAGAAGAGCCTAAGGGACCCCTTAATGGGGTTTAGGGTTTAGGGTTTAGGGTTTTAGGGTTTTAGGGTTTACTGTTTAGGGTTTAGGGTTTAGGATTCAGGGTTTAGGGTTTAGGGCCCTTATAATTAAGGAATATACCCCCCCAGAGAGCCTAAGGGATCCCTTAACTAAGGAATATATGCCTTTAAGGCCCTTCAGGGATCTATAAGGTTTAGGGTTTAGGGTTTAGGAAGATGCCTTAAATCATAATATTAAGGCCCCTATGATTTAAGGTATATTTCTTATTTCAGGGGTCTTGGGCTGCTGGGCTCTCTGGGCAACTCTTTGGCAACGAGGGTCTGAGGCCCCTCGGGTGCTAGAGCTACCCAGCGTGCGAAAGCTCTGAAACAGCTGGGCTTTGCCTTTGAAAGCCTCAACCCAGACCCACAAAAGGATCTAAAAAATAGATCCCCTAATTAGGGACCCTGACTACTAAAGGGTACTTTATAGGAACCCCCTTAGGGGATCTATTTTTTAGATCCTTTTGGGGGTTTGGGAAGGTCAAGAAGACGTACCACTTCTTGCGGTGGTCCGACTGCAATATATTCCGTACGAGTAACACACGACCAGTCATTTACAGCGGTCCCGTGCGGGGGGGGCAGGCTGCGAGGGTAAGACTCGGCAAAATGCAAGTCGGCAAGCAAAACACAAACCCTGTGCCCGCCTCGAGAGGCTGGTGCGACAAAAATACTTGGAGGATCATGGGACTTAGTAACTAGGGCTATAAATAAGGTAACTGCAATTATAACCCCCAATTAGGATACTTATAACCGTACTTACTAAGTCCCATACCCTAAACCCCTAAACCGTAAACCCTAAACCCTAAACTAAACCAAACATAGGCCGCTGACCTTGCCCCGACGAAGCCAAGAAGCGAGGCCCGGAGATGATATGCCGCGCCGTAACCTGGCCAGAGACCAAGACACTCCAATATCCCTTAATTAAGGAATATACCTTAAATCATATTAGGGATCCTACTATAATTTAGGGAACCACCGCAAGAAGTGGTACGTCTACTTGACCTTCCCAAACCCCTAAAAGGATCTAAAAACTAGATCCCCTAAGGGGGTTCCTATAAAGTACCCTTGAGTAGTTAGGGTCCCTAATTAGGGGATCTATTTTTTAGATGCTTTTGGGGGTCTGGGGAAGAGCGGACAAGAACACGACAGCCAGACCCGAAGAATGAGCCGCTAAAACCCCGGGGCGCCAAGAAGATACGATTCAGCACGGCACCACAAATCAGGCAGATGCAGAAAACAAGACCCCAAAGAGCCCAATACCCCTTAAATAGGGAATATACCTTAAATCATAATATTAAGGCCCCTGTAATTTTAAGGTCTATTCCTTATTTCAGGGGTATTGGGCTCTCTGGGCCCTAAGCCCTAAACCCTAAACCCTAAACCCTCAAGTCAGGCAGATGCAGAAAACAAGGCGTCACCAGGGGAGGCGGCCTCCGATGCATTGGCATCCTGAATGTGGCAGCCACCGTCGGGCCACAAGGAGAAGTGCTCGCAACCTCGAACATGAACTCTTGGTTTACGGTTTAGGGTTTTAGGGTTTAAGGGTTTAGGGTTTAAGGTTTAGGGTTTAGGGTTTCGGGCTCCATAATTAACCCAGAGACTCCAATATCCCTTAATTAAGGAATCTACCTTAAATAATAGTAGGACCCCTAATGTGATTTAAGGTATATTACTTAATTAAGGGATATTGGAGTCTCTGAGCACTCTTTAGGGTGTGAGCTGAGAATCTGCGGCTTCATGTAATGTAGGAGCCTGAATAATTAGAATAGGGCTCTGGGGCCCTTTATACTATAGTTATAATCTAAAGAACCCCCCCAAAAAATAGTATAGAGAACCAATTAAAGGCCACTACATTATGTCACTCTCGCTCTCTCTCTCTCGCTCCCTCCTCTTTTGCCTCCTCTTGTCTCCCGCCTGGCCTTCTGTCTTGCGACACCGCTGCTGGCATTCCAAGACGGAGCCCACCTGCGTGCGCCGCTGTCCTCCGTGAGGCTCTTGGGACGAGGACTCTGACAGGTCCAGGTTTTTCCTTTAAGTCCAATACCCTGGCCCAAAAAAGTTCAAACTTTTCTTGTAGTAGGGGCTCAATATACCAAAAAGGTTTAAAGTTTACCTATTTGGCTCCTAAGTTTGAGGTTATGGGAAGTTGATTCCGGGAGGTCTACAGCCCTCCCCACCACGCCCCAAGACTCGAACCCTAAACCCTAAACCCTAAACCCTAAACCCTAAACCCTAAACCCTAAACCACCACGCCCCAAGACCCGAACCAACACCAAACACCTGGGGCTTTGCAGCGTGAGTGCTAAAGCCCTCCTCGGGTTGCTTTAGGGTTTAGGGTTTAGGGTTTAGGGTTTAGGGTTTGCAACTCATGGCTGAGGCAGTGTAGAGGTTCGGGACTAGCCTTCGAAAGGTGTGCAATGGCATTTCGTGCAGGTGCGATTGCAGATGGGCCCTCCCCAGAGAGCCCAATACCCCTTAAATAAGGAATATACCTTAAATTATAGGGTCCTCAATCTTATGATTTAAGGTATATTCCTTAAGTAAGGGGTATTGGGCTCTCTGGGTCCTGCACCTTAAACCCTACTTGGAGGATCATGGGACTTAGTACCTATAGGGTTATAAATAAGGTAACTATAACTATAACCCCAATTAGGGTACGTATAACCTTACTTACTAAACCCTAAACCCTAAACCCTAAACCCTAAACCCTAAACCCTAAACCCTAAACCCTTACTTACGCAGTCCCATGATCCTCCAAGTAAACCGCCCCGGCAAGGCTCCTGGCATGTTCACCGGCTCGAACTTGGTGTTTTCGTGGAAGCAGCTCTTCATCCTGGCAGGAGAAGAAAAAGTGGTTTAAGTTTAGGGGTTTAAGGGTTTAAGGATTTCGGGTTTAGGGTTTAGGGTTTAGGGTTTCGGGTTTAGGGTTTGCGAATGCCAACTGTCGCAGTTTCCCTCTGCGGATTTTGAGCTCACAGCTTTCAGGGATCATCCTATTGACCCTGCGCTGGTCCAAGAATTCGTCGGCGCCCCAAAGTAATGGCCTTCGGCACAAGGTGCAAGCCCAAACCCATCCGGCCCGAATCACTTCTCTCATTTACTTAACCACCCCAAAAACCAAGAACACACATTTCGGAAAATCTCCTCCTGAAATCAACCCCGCCTTTCAAAACTACTTTGGGCAAGGGGAGTCATCATAGCAAGAGCAATGAAGAGAAGCAAGAGCAAGAAGAGGAGCACGCGCAAGAGAGAGAGAGAGAGAGAGCGAGAGAGCAAGAGCAAGATCCCCCCACCAAAGTGACACTAAACCCTAAACCCTAAACCCTAAACCCTAAACCCTAAACCACAAAACTCTCCTAATGACAACACTTCACCGTTCGAGTTGTTGTTGGGAGGGGCCCCGGCCCGGTCCAACATTAAATAATTTTTTGTCACCTCTTCTCCACCCTAAGATTAATAGTTTAGGGTGTAGGGTTTATAGGATTTCGGGGGTTTAGTATTTTTGTCACCTCTTCTCCACCCTAACATTAATAGTTTAGGGTGTAGGGTTTGTAGGATTTCGGGGGTTTAGTATAGGGGCCTTAACAATTAGAATGGGCTTTTGGGGTATATTATACTAGAATTATATTAAGGAACGCCCCAAAATAGTATCGGGAAATTCCCAGAGAGCACAATTCCCCTTAAATTTGGAATAGACATCGGGGGTCTATTCCTTATTTAAGGGGAAAGTTGGGCTCTCTGGGGACCCTAATTTAGAGAACTACCCTTGCAGTAGCCCCTAAACCCTGAA